CCCCAAAACCCCAAAACCCCAAAACCCCAAAACCCCTTATAGCAGAATTTTAATAGAATTTTAGAAGAAAACTGGGAAATAAAGTAATGGACACTGGCAAAACAAGAGAAGCTTCTCATGCTGGCAGCTGGTATACAGAAAGTGAAGAAGAGCTCAATGCTGAACTTGATGATTACCTCTCCAAAGCTGAGAAAACCCTTCCAGAAGGAAGACTCAAAGGAATAATTGGGCCTCATGCTGGGTTTTCTTACTCAGGCCCGACTGCTGCATGGGCATATAAGAATATTGACCCAACTAATTACAAAAGAGTTATATTGCTAGGGCCTTCTCATCATGTCTATCTTGATGGATGTGCTTTGACCCTCTGCTCAACTTACGAGACTCCTATCGGGAACATCGCTATTGATACAGATACTGTGAAAGCCTTGAGGGATACAGGTGAATTCGAAGATTTCTCACTAAAACAAGATGAAACAGAACACAGTCTTGAAATGCACTTACCTTACATTAAGAAGATCTTTGGAGACCATCCCTTCTCCCTTGTCCCTATCGTTGTTGGCAGTATTAACTATAAATCTGAGCAGAAGTATGGCAAACTTCTTTCAGAATATGTTGAAGATGATGAAACCCTCTTTATAATTTCTAGTGACTTCTGCCATTGGGGAAGGAACTTTGATTACATGCCCTATGAAAAAGACGTTGATGAATCAATCAGTGGATACATCAAGCACCTTGACACTCAAGGAATGGATATTATTGAAGAGCAAGATGGAAAAAAGTTTGTGAATTATCTTAAAGAGACGGAAAATACTATCTGTGGAAGACATCCTATCACTGTTTTCCTTGAAGCGATCAAACATTCGAGCCTTAAAACAGTGACAAAGTTTGTAAAATATGCTCAGTCTGGGGAGATTCATAGCAAGTACGATTCTTCTGTCTCGTATGCCTCAAGTTATACAGTTGTTGACATATAAATTTTGGAAAAGATACAACATGAATCTCTCAATTCTCGATCTTTCTTAAGGGGTTTTGGGGTTTTGGGGTTTTGGGGTTTTGGGGTTTTGGGG